GATACCAGCTACATATTCATCCCACAGTCTTTGATTTGCTCGTATTGCCGTTCGTGATGTATAACTGTGTAATTGAAAATTAGAATTTTGATATTTTTATGTACTACATTTTTATAAAAATGAATGCATTCCTGATGATGACATAATTAATGTCGAAATATTGAATCCCAACACGATGGCGTGTATTTCAATACTTGTAGTATGTATTATACTTTCTTATCTGAGATTAATCAGTGGACCTTTCGGTTATATGAAGTTGTACAATTGCAAAATCGTATTAAAAATGTAATTTTATGATGTACACATTTAATTTATATATTTTTATTTTTGTACTATTTGTTAAACTTATATATAATAAATGATAAGAATGTATGGAGTTTTTTTTTTACTATCTGCCAAGCTGACTGGGCAAATACTCACAAAATTTAAATTAAAACGATAGAAAGAACAAGTAAATAAATTGAAATACGTCCCAATAAATATTTAATAAATCAGTGCAAAAACCGAGTATTAAATAAATTGAAATAATTGAGTAAATAAACTGAAATACATCCCAAACAACAGTACCAAAAACGAATAAGTTAATTGAAATACGCCGCAATTAACGCTCTACATTCACTGAGAGACGCGCTTGGCGTTCCATAGAAATGACCGGCGGCTCAACTTGTCGGCGGCTCAACCGGTCATAATCCGTGGGAGAGGCCGGGGTTAGAAAAAGCACAATTTGTCGGGGAGAAAAAATATTATATGTATTTTATATATATACATATTAGTAGACTATAAAATCGATTAAATAAGCCTTCGAAACCCCTAAATTGCGAAAATTTTCAAGGGCTTCGCCCCCAGGACCACTTGTGACTTTCGAAACCTTTTAATCGAAGCTCGACCACTCCCACTTTGCTTTCGTCGGAGAAATCTGACCCCTCTTCGGGGCATCAGCCCCCCTCGTCAGGAACCTCGGCCCTCCCCTGTCAGGCAAATCCTGGCTCCACCCCTGTAGGCCCCCAGTTGTTTGTCTGTTGGCATGGGAATGTGTTAGGTTGCTGATGATTTGATTTGCTCTTGCCTTGCTTTCTCTCAGAAACAACTGATCCAAAACCAGCAAGAATTACATTGTCTCTGATAGCAAAACGAAATCTTCCTGCAGCCTTAGCGAATGGACCTCAAGAGAATTTGTAAGTAGCTACCCCAGTACAGTATTTTTTGCAGCCAATTTGTTACCTAGACCTATGTGATTTAAATTGGTACCAGATCATATAATTAATAGCAAATTCTTCTTGTACACCGAAGAGAAAATAGGAAAAAAAATTATTTTAATAATTAATTAATTAATTGTATGCCTATGTCATGTGGGAGTTTGGCACTCGTATCTTAATTTGAATGTCGGTTGGCGCAATACAAGGCCAACCAATCAGACTCCAATTAAAACCAGATGCTGGCTGGGATTGAACCAGCGCCGCACAAGAAGCAGCAACAATCATTCTCAGCAGTAGCAGGTCACTTCGGCCAAAAACCAAATCGGCCAAAACCAAATCGGCCCAAAACCAACTCGTCCCAGACAACAACTACCCGTTTTGATACAGAAATACCCAGATGAATAGCGGTCACGATTACCCATTACCCAAAGACAATTATTATTATTATTTTAGTATTATTATAATTATTAATATTATTTATAGGTCTAATATTATTTTTTAGTATAACTATTCTTATTATTTATTTTTATATTATCCGAATTATATATTTTTATAATTATTATATTATTATATTTATTTTTATTATTATTTTAGTACAGTAGTATAATTATTAATATCATATATAGGCCTAATATTATTTTTTTTATTAGGCCTATTACTATTCTTATTACTTATTTTTTATATTATCTGAATTATTACTAGTCCCATTAATTATTTTTAGAAGAATCTTAACATACTTTTTTTTTATAAAATAATGTATATTTGTATGAATTTAAAGCAAAACAAAATACTGTACATGAACTTACGGATTTATTCAGCTACATTTAATTCAAACTGGCTACATACAATATTTTCTTTTTCAATTCACAACGGAAAAGTTTGAGAGTAAACAGTATGCCTACTGTTATTTTAGGCTGGCTGCCCCAGCAGGGTTTTTTTTTTGTTTTTTGCTTTTGTTTTCTTTTTTTTATCTAACACTTTGGAATTAAAGAGGTGCACTACTGTTATTACTGTTAAATATTTTTTGGGTAAACTGTTTATTTCTGTTTGGCAACACCCAATATGTTTTTCGATGAACGTAGCACAATAAAAGTCAACTATTCATTTCACAACACAGGTACCACCCAACCGTCTTGAATAACCGAGTTGGTTTTAGTCCGAGTTGGTTTGGGCCGAATTGGTTTGGGCCGATTTGGTTTTGGGCTGAAGTGACCAGCATTCTTCACAGCCTTATATTCTGTCGTAAATCTGAGTATTTTTTTGTTTACACGTAGAATTGAATCATTGGCAAAGATCAGTCATGTTCGTTTTTTTGTTTACACATAGAATTGAATCATTGGCAAAGATCAGTCATGTTCGTTTTTTTGTTTACACATAGAATTGAATCATTAGCAAAGATCAGTCATGTTTGTTTTTTTGTTTACACATAGAATTGAATCATTGGCAAAGATCAGTCATGTTCGTTTTTTTGTTTACACATAGAATTGAATCATTGGCAAAAATCAGTCATGTTCGTTTGGACCGTGAAAACATCAAACATATTGACAATTTGGAGATGCTTGGACCAGTAACTAATCTATATTTACAACAGGTTTGTCACATTTACATTGTTATGTGATTGTTACTAAGCTCTTTTGAAATAAATTGTTGGTGTTGCAGGTTTTAATAGACAGTCTAAATAGATTAAAATATCTTACAAAACACAATCAACAAATCATATACATTATAATAGAAATAGAAAAAGAACTCCTTTACCATTTCATTTGTAGAGAGCACAGGAAGGAGACCAAAGTAGCTAATATATTGCAATCGTGATTGGTCAATCTCTTGAAATGAAGTCAAATCATTCAAGCATCACTGGCGTTAGGTCAGTGGCGTTAGCAAATCTGGGGTCTGCAGGTAGCGTTAATAACGCCAAGGACGTGGCGTAGTGAGTGGCTTTAACAATGCCACTGCCTAGTTCACACACAAAGGCGTACGCTACACCAGGCTTAAGCCAGCCTTATGCCGTGTGTGTGAACATAGCCTAAGAGAACAGTATGTAATATAAATATTAGTGCACCACTGAATGCTGTTTCTAATTCCTTTTGTAATACGTTTTAGATGAATTACCACCTTCTTTGTTGGTGCTCAATTTGTCTGTCAATCAATGTACAAAAGCATGTAACTACAGGTAAGTATATAACATTTTTATTTATTATTTGATTTAATTATTTTTTAATTGAAAAAAAAAACTTTTCAAGGGATCTAATGTAAGTACTGGAAAATTTTTCAATCATAAACTTTATTTTTTTTATTGCATTGCATTTTTTTCTGAAATTTTTTACGATAAACATAATAAATTCCTCATTTATATGATGTACATGATTTTCAAATGATATTTTTTGTCAGCTTTGCTCTGATCTGTGTACTTTGTTGAGAATATATTATCCGTATATGTGTCGGAAACCATGTGATACAGTGTATACTTGCGTATCAAAATGTTGAATTCAACCAGAGTAATTTAATACATTGTCTTGATTCTTGATTTGCAATGGAATATTTATAGAATATGTTGCCGTCCTTTATGCTTATTTCTTGGCCTCTTTCTAGTCAATGTTAGTGGCTTGAGTTGAACAGTATTTATCGAACAGCTTCACTTTCTGTATATTGTAATAAAATTATTAAAATACAATCATAACTAAGGGAGTCGAATGGCCGAGCGGTTAGCAGGGGCGCCACAAGCTATAGCCATAATATCGGCGCTGGTTCGATTGGCACGCTAGCCTATGGTTCTGTGATAGAACCAGTCTTCTCGGATAAGGACTATAAACTGTAGGCCCAGTGTATACAATGGCTCGTGTGCACTATAAAGAACCCAGTACATCTTTCGAGACGAGCAAGGGGATACCCTGGTGTACTGGAACAGACAGCCCCTGTGGTGGACGATGAGAGTTGCTGGTACCGGGTTACCGGGTAGCACAGACACGAAGGGACCCTTAGGGGCGAAGAAAGTCATTGATCAAGTTCCTAGTCCACATTTCAAGCCCCCTGAGCATCTTACATTAGATGGATATGTGCGCTATATAAAACTACATTATTATTATTATTATTATTATAAATAGTGATAACAAATAACCATTCAACCATAATAGTAGTAGTAAAAATACCGAATAATAATAATATTTATATTGTATATTATATATTTTTCATTTTATTGTATATTATTTAATATTAGAAAAAACATTATCAAATCACTACCAAATCTGCAACAGCTAGATAACCATCAGATTAGCAAACTAGAGAAGATCGAAATTGGTATTGAAGTGTCTAGCAGCTCTGAAGAAGATGAAGATGAGGTGGAAGATGGTTACTATGGTAATCACCTCCATTATAATGATAAAGTTTTAGATAAAGCTGGCGGTATGTTCTTGAATTCTTTGCTTTTTCAACTTTTAAAACTACAGCTTCTTGATCCCATCATGTTACATGCAGCTATTTCCCATCATGTAACATACTAACTAAATCCTTTCCGAGCCACTGGGGCTCATAGGGCAGGAGCTTATCCCCAGTTTCTGTAGTGTGAAGCGGATGAGAGTTGTACTCCCCCTGGATGGGACACTAGTCCGTCGCAGGTTAGTCCCAGCAGTTTGCTTGTACCTATTGATCAGCTGGGTGGACTGAAGCAATGTAGCTAAAGTGCCTTGCCCAAGGACTCAAGCGATTCTGCACAGCGGAGACTCAAAACCCAGACCTTACGATTGAAAGCCCAAACCTCAACCACTGCGCCAAACTGCCGCATCTAACACTCTCAGAATATCACTGCGGAGACATGACAAAGAAATGCTCCAACCATGGATGAATAAAATAGGTTTCTCCATGTTTCAACTAATACAGGTTGTACATTTAGGCCAGTCCTCTTTGCTATAGAAGGAAGGGGTTGTGCCACTATATTGGCAGTGTGCTGACATGCCAATCCTCAATACAAACACACTGAAAAAAACCTTGAAGATCTCAGACCAATTTCTCTTATGTCATATTCATCGTTAATACTCTGAAGGGAGAGCAGCAGAAATAAAGCCAAAATGAATTTGCACTAGTCTTGGTCTGAGGCTTGGGGAGTGCAGTGGTACAGTTGTAAAAATATGTCCTTAAATGGTGTGAATCCAAACTGACATTAGGGGAAAATAACACAAAAGATATTCCCCTTAAGTCCGATTTAGTGAAATTATTATTATTATTATTATTATTATTATTATTATTATTATTATTATTATTATCATATAAAATATGGTATATTTTCTATTATTGTTTAACATTTATCATCATTTTTTATTGTTATTAATTTTTGTCTACAGATTTATTTAGTACATCAACCCAGATAATCCAGAGATCTAAGGACAGAATGAAGGTTCACTGCAGCAAACATGATGCTGTAATAGATGAACTTGATAACTTTCGCAGCCAATCAGAGCTTGGCATGAGTACAGCCAGGTCAGATAATTCAGCAGCCAATCAGGGCTTAGCATGAGTAGAATGCATTTAGATACTACGATGACACCCAGTCAGAGCTTTGAGTGTGTACAGCCAGGACACATCTGCAGCCAAATGCCAAAGCGCAGCATGAGTACATTACAACAACTTTGTTGGCCGTTGTGTGAGCAAATTCAGTCTGCTAGTTGTTAGGGGTTAATGTTAATTCCTGTTACAGTATACTAATGTATTCTTGAAATGTATCTGCAGTTATGATGGAGTATGAATGATTTTTTATTGGCGCACATGTCTATTTCTACTGACAAGATTCTACTTTTGCCAAAAACTGTTAATATTGTCATTATTATAAATAATACTGGCCTAGTATTACTTAGTACCTCATCAGGGCATTGAGCAGTCAAACCACCTATGTGCTGTCTCTGTGTGGGCAATTCCATGAAAATGAGGACCAAAAAATTAAAGTTAATGATATGAAGCCACACACTTTCATGAACACATGGAAGTGTGTGGAAAAACTAAAAACCGAGCCAAATATCAAAATGATGCAAATACCGTAAAATTTAGCTGAAAATAATGGAATTTTCCCAACCAGTATATCTGGGGGTATAACTATTATGTTGGGCACATCTTCATTTTGCAGTGGTAGCATTACAGTAGGCCAAAACAATGACTACTAAATTCATGGAATATGAGGGTACTTTAAAAGTGGCACACCATAAATATATTAAAGGTCTTTCAAGTGCAAGGAAATGAAAAAAATATATATGTTCAAGCACTTCAAGGTTGTGTCAACGTGAGGCGCTATATAAATCCAGAATTATTATTATTATTATTGTTATATTTATCAGTTTTACTTAAAACATAATGACTGGAAATTTGTGGATACCAACATATTGCCAATAGTTACAGGTTACATTGTTGAAGTGTTCTAAATTAATGTGAAATATTTTGTTCTGTTGTTTTTGAAATAAGTTTGCAGATTGAATATGAATAATAATAATTTACAAATTAAATAAAGAAAATATAATTAAAGTGATAATAAAGTCCATATTGTCAATTTTGTAGTAGAGACATGTGGTAACATAAGTTACCGTAACATAAGTTACCGTAACATTGGGACATTATTAATTGTAATCCATTTACCTGTTATTAGTTCAATGACCAACAATTATGTGATATACATTGACTTTACTGAGGGATATTCTGTATGAGGAGACTTTTGAAAACTGTCTTTTTGTGTAACGCAAGTTACAAGTTACCAAGATTTGATTATGTTAACAAAAAATATTAAAACCAGTTGAAAGTTTTAATAGGATTTTCAAAAAGGTTAAACATTTATTGTTTTAAATAATACCAAAGATACTAGAAATACAAGATAGAGTTCTCCACACAAAAAAAGTGTTCCACTGTGTTCCACCGAAATGCATGGTGGGAATACGAAAAATGGGATGCCCCCTACAGCTGGATCTAAAAAAACTTGTGCCAAACTTTCGTTACCAAGTTGTCGCGTATTTTATTATCACTTTTCAACAAAGATACTAGATATAAAAACAAACTGGAATAGACACCCAGACAATGACATCGGTGAATACATAACCTCCTTGGTGGCAGTAGAAATCGTTGCTATTATCCAAATAATACACAAAACAATTAAAGCATAATCATGAATCCGTAAAGAATAAAACAACAATACAGCGCAGAATCGCATGGCCGGACGCACTCTTAGTGAAAAAGCTTTCCTCCATTAGTGGTAAAGGAAGGGCGCCTTTTGCGTCTGGATATACTTAGCAACAGAAGAGCGCCCTGTACGTTGGGCACGAAGTACAGGAAACTTGCATGGTTAAAAAGAAGGGCGCTGCCTACGTTGGGCACGACTTCCGCCTCATTTTTACAATGCGAGAACTCTATCTTGTATTTCTAGTATCTTTGATAATACTTAGTTATACTGAAGAAATAAGTTTATTACTGTGTAATCATCAGTAGCATGAATGAAAGTAGGTAAAAATGTAATGTAAGTTACCATGGAATTGCCAATATATGTGTCACATTTGGTTCTGTATTTATTTTGTTGTTTTATTGTAATTTAACTATTACATGATTTTATTAATCATTTAAATGATATCATAAATATTGCCATTAAAACTGTATTGTTTTATTATTAATTATTAATATTGTATTTTTTTTAAATGTATTTTAAATACACTTAGTATAAGTTTAAAATAAATTTATATTTCTATAAGTTATAGGTCAAACCTGTTGTGAGAATGTTCGTAATATTTATAAAGGCTCAAACCAATAAATCTTATCCTATCAAAGTACCCATACAACACATCGCAGTGATAAAGGGATAAAAAAAACTCTGCAATTCCAAATATCACATTTAAAATCTAGTAAGAAAACAGGTGTTGAGGATTAGTACTAAATTTTAAATTTCTTTTTTTTTTGTTAGCTTTTTAAAAAATATATAAATTTATAAAAATAACAATTGATTTGATGGGCCTCAAATTTACAATTTCCTTTGTTTTTAAAAAAAATATATTAATGATTTAGATGATGAATAAAGGTTTGTATTATATTGTGTGCTTACTCATGTATTGTTAAATGTAAGATTTGAATGTATCAAGATGAGATGACGCCTAAAACAGAATAGAACGTTTAAGACATACAAGAAACCTACAGACGACACCCAAAACAGAATAGAACGATTAAGACATACATGACACCTACAGACGACACCCAAAACAGAATAGAATGTTTAAGACATACAAGACGCCTATAGACGACACCCAAAACCGAATACAGTAGAACGATTAAGATATAAAAGACACCTACAGATGACACCCAAGACAGAATAGAAAGGGAGAATTTGAGACGTACAAAACACCGAAAGGATGAATGTTAGTAATTTTATAGATTTTCATATTTTTTCAGGAAATATATTGTACAAGTAGGAAGGAAATTAATGGCAAATGTCTGGAAATTTTTTTGCTTTACATTTTCTCAAGTAGTATACAGTTGAACTACATGAGTGTATTCAAGTGATGACTTACCGTACTGCAGAATACAATTACCAATATTGCTATTAATAATAATAAGTCATCTTATTAGGCGCACGTATCCATCTCTGGGTAGAGCTGCTCGCGGCACCGTTTTCCCCTTGCAGAGTGTACATGCAGCCTTTTTTTCTGCATTAATTTATTTTAATTTATTTATTTATTTTTATGTATATTTATTTTATGACAGAACTGACATGGATGGGAAGATTGGCAAAATAAAGACTCTTCGTGGTCACCATCCATCACAAAGCCTAATACAGGCTTACACGGACATTGTAATTTATCTGAACAAACTCAGGATGATAAACTGAACTGAGGCTGCTAAGCCTAATACAGGCTTATACGGACATTGTAATTTGTCTGAGCAAACTCAGGATGATAAACTGAACTGAGGCTGCTAAGCCTAATACAGGCTTATACGGACATTGTAATTTGTCTGAGCAAACTCAGGATGATAAACTGAACTGAGGCTGTTAAAATAAACTGAATTAACTCAATCCACTAGACAGCTGAACATCCCTTCATTTCTTCCTCCTCCATTATCTACCTCCATCACATAATTCACGACATTCTGCTTTCCAACCTATTCATGCTCGATTTCTCCATTTCACACTTAATTTTTTCCCTTTGCTCTTTGCCTTTCATACAACCTTGCTCTCCATCCCACCACATCCTTTCCTTTTGACACTAGAACCACTTTTCTTATGTAGGACCTATTACTGTATAGCTAAAAATTACCCCTTTTATATATTTATCGTTGCATTGTATTAATTGGAATTGATGATGAAGCAATAAAATTGAACTGAATTATAATTCTGTTTGATTTTATAATAATATACTATATTGCAGTATATTTATCACAGGTCTCATTATTATGACATTAATGTAGTTCATAAAAGAATGTTAAAGTATATTTGTAATTGTATTAACAATTAAAGAGTGTACATGTGATTGACAATTGAAACAAATCTACAAAAAAAACATTTCTTGCTAGATTGTGTGATGGATTTAATTCCACTTGAATCAACTGTGTTGCCATCATCGCAATTGTCATGGCAACCAACCTAATACGTTAGAATAGATTCATTATGATACAAATTTGTGAAGGATTATGAATCTGTATTTTAAAGGATTCTACTTGTATATTTACAATAAAATGCCATTCATGAGCTTAACAGAAAAATGTGAATTCTAACTAAATATTGCAATTTTCAGATCTAAAGTAAAAACATGGCAATTGCAAACATTAGTTATTTTAAGTACGTACTCAGAAAATATCACAGAGTTTTTAATTTAATGCAGTTAAGATAACAAATTGAGTGAAACAATGAGCACATGTTTACACATGATTCAGCCACTGTCCACAACCACAGTACATGGTTACCAATATAAGAGGACTGTCTGTACCTCCAAAATACACTGCCTTATAAATATACCAAAGCGCACATTTGATAATCCTGCAATGACATCATCCTGCTTTAGGCAGCTGTACCACTCTTGCATGAGTGTCTGGCTTCTCAAGCAGCATATAGGATTCCTGTGTCACCAAATGCTACGACCACCCTCTGTCATACAGAGTTTTAAATTATGTCAACTATATCATTTAAAAAACCGTCCTTATGAAATTTCTAAATCAATGATTTCATCCCAAGGAAACCTTTTTAAATTATCCTATCACAAAACACATTCAAAAACATTTTGTACCATTAAGGCCTATTTACACACGAGCACAACAGCAACATGAAAAATAGAACCTATTACTGTATATTCTTTATGATGATCTACACTGAACACTAACAGAGCGACATGTCAAACTATTATTATCGGTGATTCTCATAATCATTCGCTGAGATGCAGACTGCAGAACCAACCACACAACATTTGCATATGTGATGATTTTTGTTGCAAAATGGATAAAATGTGTTTGTTTCTTACTGTCACATTTTGTGTAAAATAGGCCTTAACCATAAATTCCTACAAAGACAGTTTTGTTTTTGCTAAGATTTGGTTCAAGCACAAACCTACACTTCTAAAATGTGCATGAACAGTTGATATAAAAAATGTTATTTGTGGGAGGGGTGAATGTGTTAGGGTGTGTATGGGTTGCTTACCATTAAATTTGGAGCAGATATACTTAATTATGTTTTAATTGTGCAAATATTAAAGAGTACTTTGCAAGCCAGACCCACATGGCGCACGAACGGCGACATCTCTGCTTCTCACATCGTCATTAAGATGCGTTGTGTGCGTGTCATGGCATTGAGACCATCAGGTGCAGACAATGCCCAGCTTAATGCAAAAATAAATAACATTTCAACATCAATACCAAGAAATTGTTCAATTCCAGCGAGTTTAAAGCAGAATATTTAACACTCGTGTTTACAGACTGACATATTCAATTCAACCAAATTAATTAATGTATTCTTTTTCATTCCTGGATAATCCTACAAATATACAATAATAGTATTGCAGAGAGAACATTATTATGGTGGGGATCATAACCTGAAATAAACGGAAGTACAGGAAAGTTCAAATTAGGACCCATAATAGACATTACAAACCAGTCCTGAACCCCATAACAGTAATATTACAACATTCCCTACTCCATACAAAAGAAGACAAAGAATTGGAAGCCCAAGATAAAATGTACAATTCCATGGAATATTTCACTAGTTCTCGCTGCATACAACAACATCCTGAAATGCCAAATAATACCACACAACATCCTGACTTCACAATAACAATGACATAGCTGTGGGTACATCCTGTGAGACGGAGTAGCTTTTCAAAGGTCAAACATGACACACTGTAAGCAATAGTCTCAGTAAGGCTTTTGTAAACTAACTATTGATTCCTGCTTACAAGGACAGTCTCTATCATCTTTATAATGCTAAAATCTGTTGATCCAAATTGGAACATCCAGTAAATATATATTGGGAGAGTAAAGGGATCCCATTCCTAATCATTAGGTAATTAGTAAATTCCAAACATATCAACCAACAAAAAAATTAAGTAAATAATATACAGTGATTTTCCAAAAGTATTTACAGATAATGGTAATACAGGCTAGCAAAGAGAAAATGTTTTTCTCTTTTTATATATATATATATAATTATATATATATATATGTATTTATTATATATATATAAATTTCTACAAAACATAATTAAAAAATAATTACTTTTTAAAGTCATTAATATTATGCATTCAGAACTTGTTAAATATTATTGTGTGTATTGCAAAATGAGGCAAAGAGACAAATCCGTTACCTAGCTTACTTTGCCATTTTGGGACACAACTTTGTCAATAAACCAAATTATGTGACTGAAAACAGCCATGGTTCGCTGAACTTTGGCATGCATCACAGCAGATCCCTACACCTCACATAGCTTGCTGCTACACTTATCAGCAGATCCCTACACCTCACAGAGACTGCTAATACATTTAGTCTGTTGCATTGTAAGTAGAATGTACATAAGATACTTCCAGATAATCAATGTTGAGGACACCATTGTACCTTAGCAACCAAGTGCTAGACAGGCCAGCACAGCATTGAACAGTACCAACAATCTAGTATGCTGACCTCAGGATCTGGAATCGAACTGCTTGTAGGTCAGGATCAAAGTTCATCCAGTAGAAATACTTTGGGTATGCAGACAAATCATAGTCCTATACTGATCCAAATGCATAACCACCGTCTAATTTGCATCGCACATTCAACAGCCTTTCTCCATGCCGCAGTAGCTGGATCGTCATGCACCAGACACGTATCAAAATATGCCAACATCGCCTGTCTGTAAACCCAAACGTAATTCATTCTTGAAGCTTTGGCTTGTGGGCTGAATGTAGTCTACGATGCATAAATCTGTTGACAGTAACATTTTAGCCTGGAAATCTAGCGGACGGGAGGTTGTGGTGGAGGACCTCGCTTCACACCTGGAGAAAATAGTTAAATAAAACATTTATTACCAAGAAAAGTAACAGTAATACTTTTGCCATTTAATATCATCCTATAAATCTTATTACTCATGATGAACAAGCAATATTGACTATGATTATTAACAATATATATGACAATGCGCAACACTTCTAAATGTTGACAAATATCACAACAATAATTCCCCATACCATACTTACTTTATGTCTCAAACTATATTGTAAGTAACAATTATTACTAGCAACAAAGAACAGACAGCCTCTAAATGCTACCAACAAGGCAAAAACACCAATAACTGCTATCTCCTTACATAATTCATGAGGTAACAAAAGAACACACTTGTAATTAAAAAAAACCAGGATGGGTCAACTTGAGTGTAGGTGGAGATGGTAAATTTCAGTTCGAGAAGAAATTATTATATTTTTGTTGGTTAATGTTAAATTACAATCAAATTTGGTTATGTTAAGTTTCATTAATATTCATAAGGCATAGCTTATTGTGTAAGTATGATGAGCAGTGGTTGTGACATTAGGGGCCAAATTCACTGAGCAGTGGCTGCGACATTAGGGGGGCCAAATTCACTGAGCAGTGGCTGCGACATTAGGGGGACCAAATTCACTGAGCAGTGGCTGCGACATTAGGGGGGCCAAATTCACTGAGCAGTGGCTGCGACATTAGGGGCCAAATTCACTGAGCAGTGGCTGTGGCTGCAACATTAGGAGGCCAAATTCACTGAGCAGTGGCTGCGAAATTAGGGGGGGCCAATTCCACTGCCCAGTGGCTGCGAAATTAGGGGGCCAAATTCACTGTGTCTGACAAGCGTAGAAACACCCCAATGTCCGACACCACAAAGAGATCGCCCGACTAAAATTATTAATTTGCCAATCTAAACAATATAATTTTCATTTCTAATCACTCGCATTGTGGTCTTAAGCCACTTGCATTTGGTCCATTCCTAAAACATCAAAATCTCATGCAATGAACCCCACAGGGGAATGTATTCCAGGACCCAGCCTAAGGCTCTAGGAGATCTCTTGGTTCGAACCCCATTTCTGATTTGTACCCCCCCACCAAACCCATCTGGAGCTACTATTGACTGTGAAGAATCTTTAAGTGTCGTCAACTGAAAATTCCATAATAATAAATTTTGTTTTGAATACAAGATTAATAATTCTATTAATATAAATGTTATTAACGCTTTATTAATATTGTTGATAAAGAGTGTCATCAATGAAGAATAGTGGAAGCGCTGAACCATGTTGATGTGTTCAGAGAATGGTGTCCTAAACTGGTTCCCAACATTCTTATTATGAATTATTAAATTAATAAAACTGAAAATTGGAAAAGATACAAAGATATAAATTGATGCAGATAAAGGTATTGGTCTAAAATAAGCAAGGCATTAGTAAGTGCGATTTTATCTTCAAATACTAAAAGTCTCTCGTAATGTGATTTAAGTGTAAAAGAAAAACTAATTATTAGACTGTATATCCGATGTAGTCACAGGAGAAAATTTAGCAAATAATATGTACTCTGTAGATTTTTAAAGTTTTTTTTTTACTTTATTTGTAAGTTAAATCACCAGTGGTCCTGGCTTAGGCTTCTTTGAGCCCTTCTACTCTGGGGGCCACATAAAACTGCGGTGAGGCCAGCATTTTGAATGTTTTAAGGGCATATTTGATGGTTTACTTTACACATTCTGCTCAATAAAAATCCCCACAGTCCTGGTGAAAAAATGGCAATTAATACCCCAGGCCCCTTAAGTTTAAGGGCCCCTTCCTTTCTAGCCAGCGAGATATCATCGGCATCACGCCACTGTACTTTACTTCGGAAAGTTATTTTGGCGATAAAAACCTCACAACCTTTCTTTGTAACTACTGTAGATTTGAACTTGTCACTGATGATGAGTTAAGTGGTGATCCGCCGCACATTTGAACTTTGACCCTCAGGGTGCGCTTGCACCCTGAGGGTTTATGAACGCTCAAAGTGGCCTATAACATGCTATAATTTAGTTTAAAAAAGAATAATTTTGAGCATTTTAAGAAAAATGAGGGGGTCCAAAAAATCATTCATTTTGACCAGGATGACGTCATCAGAATGAAAAATTAAAGGCACACCTCCGAAAGAGAATTGTCTCAGCTATAACATATTGAAATTTGGGAGACGATCAAACAAGGATAAGTGAGATACACTCAAATGCGTATTTTAGAAAAGGGCGTCATTGATAAAATACGCAATTATTGAATTCAGACGGCAATATGACGTTGTCACAATGTCCGATGAGCCATAAAATCATATCTACAACTCATGCTTTCAGAATATGTAATAAAAATTGGGGGTCACCTTTCATCCTTAGGAGCTATAACTGATTAAAAATAGGCATGATTTTAGCATATGTCAAATCGAAGATGACGTCACACATGACTTAGCACATTGAAAAGCTTATTGAGACTATTCCAGGCCAAGCCAAATGTCTGTTGAAGATGACACGTATGTAGCTCGTGAACGAGAAATGGGGAGAAATGTAGAATTAAAAAATAAAAAAGATCTCTGACAATAACAAGAGGTGATCCACTTGTGAAGCAGATCCCCAATTAAGCAACTATAATATTATTATTATTATTATTATTTATTATCATTATAATTATTATTATCATTATTATTATGCAAATATTCACAATGAACTATATTTATACATACTGCCATCAACCACTTTACGTAACTGTCAATGAAGCACTGGTTTAAAAATGCAACATTGCAAAAATATTTTTAAAAATAAAAATAGTAGGCAAAATAACATTATCAATAAATTTGTGAAAATGATCATGCATGGTATCATAATTGATATAATGGGAATGCATGCGTGGAAATGCACTGCATAGGGAATACATGCAAGTTACTTCCACTGGAAGCATTGAAAAGAAAACATGCAGAAACGTTGCAATGAATGCATGCAGAGTAGAGAATGCATGCTTTATACTGATACATAAAACTCACCGTTAATACCTTGTTCATAAGAGGTGGAGTCATCACTCAAAACACCTAATACAAAGTGTGCGATAGTCAAAAGAAGAAAAAAATCCCAAAAGTATTGGAAAGGAGGAACCAAAAGTAGCAATTAAATTTTGGATCATTTTTCCTCATTGAAAGGACCTTTGCAAAGTGTCAATAAATTTTAACAACAATAAGAACAGGGCCAGGTGTGTGCTTGTCTCAAACATAATGTTTACATACATTTACGCTATCATTTTATGGAACCTTAGCAACAATACCTGAGGCTTAGTGGAATGGTCCATTAAAAAGAATGCAACAAATACCCAAAAAAAAAAACCAAAAATAGTTTATCAGTGAGTTAATAAATCTAGAATATGAAGTAGAAAATCTGAAAAACAAAACATTTATTGGAGTTTGTTGGTTTAAAAGAATTGAAAAAAACATTTAAAATTTGAATTTGCAAAAAAATGTCAAATTCTCAGAAAAATGAAAAATGAAATGAACATAAAAGAAATTTAAAATGAATAAATATTTTGCCTGAATAGGTTTTTGATGCAGATCAACTTTGAGCTCATACTCTGCTGCTTTTTAGCTCTGGAACAGCTAAATAGACAGAAAATATGCTAAATAGACAGAGGAAATGCTAGGCATGGAAAGGACACATACATGTTAACAATACTCTTATATAATATTATATTATTGCCCAACTGATATTTTCGATCATTTGCTTTTGTCAATAGTACAAATATTAGTTCATAATTTCTAAAAATCACTCATATAAAAAATATTTTTTGTAAGTGAAATTATGCTGATATATAATTGGTAATTCAATTCTGTTTCATCCACATTTTTTAATTACATTCTTTATTGGACTAAATAGCTATATTTTACTATAAATTTCAATGTTTCAAATCTGTTATTAACCTTCATCCATAATGTAATGTTCTGCTACAAGTATTGTAGTTTTAAGTCTACCTTTGGTATAGCTCATCAACTTATGAGTAATCTTGATGAAAAACCAGTTATAAGCAAACCACTGGAAAGGAAACTTTTAAATAGCATGTTGACAGTAGACCAACAATTCGAGGAGGGATTACACTAGAAAATACTGTACAGTATTTTAAAGTGTAAAAACAAATGTATTTGAATGTCTATCTAAATTTGAATCACTTTTAGAACTACTGTACTAGATTAAATGCACACTAAAATATTGGTAAGTTGTAGTTAGTTTGTATTGATATTAGCGCCAATAATATGTGTATATACTAAATGTTCATACCTGTAGTATACAACATTCAATATATGTATATATGATACAGCAATCGCACATATTCATAATAACTATAACATAGGTTGCAATGGTGGGCCAAGCTGAGCAACTACTTAAATCACTCATTCAATGCTTATTAAAATGAATGTTAAAGATGACAACATCTTGCCTTCTTAGTAATGTTAGTAGGCTTGATGGTTTATTCAATTTTAGCAACAATTTAATAATAGCCATTTTTCGTTTTGACTACGCAGCCAGTCTACTATGAACTAATAAAGTGTAACAGATATCTGCGCATGCTCACAAACCTTACTGGCTAAATCGGCGTTGTGATAGCTTCCGCGACTTCCCCAATTTCTGAATTTGGCGTAGTGGCGACTACCCTAACATTGAATAATCAGATCACCGGATCATTTGGCAAACTGCTTGTAATTTTTTTTGTTGGGGTTGCAATTTTCATTGCATCCACGATCGAGCATTGTTTGTTCAATAATGAATTAAAACAAGTGAGTAATTAACAATAAACAAAACAAGTGAGTAATTAATAATTAAATGTTTTATGAAGGCCTATTTATACACATACAATAAATGAGAAATAAATAGTCACAACATAAAATTAGGTAAATCAGGGGATAGTGAAAAAAAGGGCCTTAGGCTTAGCCTAGCCTTGTCAGGGTGGATTTTGGGTAGGAGAAACACATTATTTGGTGCCGCTAGCTAGGGCATCTGCGGCCTTGATATCGTGGATCAAGCCTTGCTTTATAAATACCTCTGTTTAAAATTGTTATGTACATTTATTTGTACATCATCATTGCATTTGGCTAGGCCTAGCCTGTAGGCCTAGATCATAGCCAACAGCGAAACATCACTCAGTGTTTTCTGGAAACTTTTTATTTTGTATTCAGTGTTTGACTAAAGTTTGTTTTCACATTTTCTTTTTCAAATATAAACCAAGGGAACATTGTCCCCTGGTAATAAAACCATGGTCGACTAACTCCCCTCCGTAGGCCTACGTACATGTGCTGCGTCGTCCTAGTCGCCCTAAAAAATCGAAAACAGCTCTTGGTGTAATACGCTGCAGTCACGGTCCATTAGTTCGTAGTAGACTGGCCGCGTAGTCAAAACGAAAAATGCCTAATATAAACTTGCAGTACAACGCAACGCAAGTTTATAATAATTGTTTGTTTTCTTTCTCTATTACTGGGATGCAGAGTCTACTCACTTTGTCTACTTGACTTGCTTGGGTAGGTTTTTGCTGTATTCTTGTAAACTTCTGGTTGTGGTAGATCATTCATAGATCGAAAATTAAAACGACTTTCGAAAGGATCTGAAACATTGTATATTTTCAAATACATTATTATATAAATGGTAATAATACTTTTATAAAGTGCCTAATGCAAAAAATAGCCTCAAAGTGCTGAAAGATGCCAGTTGAAGTTAGGTATATCATATAAAGAACAGTCAGTGTTTTGGTGAGTTTTGAATTTCCAGTGGAAGTGTGTTCCAGAGGTTTGGCCCAATGGAGGAAAAGCTTCTGTCACCATGTTTTCATTATTATTGCAGGTTGTTTTGCAAGTTGTGAGCTTATTTTGCAGGTTGTGACCTTATTTTTCAATTCAACCCAAGCAATAACAACCTCTAGAAATCATACTATAAAAGGTAAAGATAAAAGGTAGAGGTTGGAAATAACCCGTCACTTGCAGCTTTAACTAGGCTGAAATGCACACAGACGAGCACCAACTTACTCTTACTTTCTTCTCCCCTAAGGGTCAAATCATGTCCAATCAGCTGCCAAGAGGCTAAATGGAGAAGTACTGGGTTCTTTAAAGTGCACAAAGAACATATTGTGTACACTAGGCCTATGGTTAGAGTCCTTATCCGGGAAGACTTGTTGCCACCACTAGTACCATAGGCGAGCAATGCTATTAGAACCAGCGCCAATATTATCGCTGTAGGTTGCGGCGCCCTGCCCTAACCCTAAGCCATTCGACTTGCCTAAATCTAAAATGCTAGAGAAAAATGATTTATTACTCACGATTATTATTTGTTACGTTATTCATTGAAGGTGTCAATGGAGGTCTGTCCCTGCTTGGAGGTGGTGGTGGTGGCGCATTATTAGGATGCCCAGCCATAGAATTTGGTCTAGCTCTTGGAGGTGGTGGTGGACCAGATGTTGATGATGCTCTTCCTCTGGGTGGCGGCGGCGGCCGTGCTGCTTGAGGTGGTGGTGGTGGGGGAGTATTCATTGGTCTAGAAGCTGAAGATACTGTTCTTGATGGAGGGGGAGGAGGTGGAGGACCAGTTGCCCTTGCTGGGGTTGGGGGAGGCCTTCTTTCAGGAGCTCTATTTGCTTCTCTTCTGGGTACTGCTGGTACAGGTCCATTAGTTAAAGTAGATGATCCTCTTGATGGTGGTGGTGGTGGTTGACCACGAGGTCCAGCCGGTGGTGGTGGTGGCCTACCTATACCATTTACTGGTTTTTTGTCTTGTGATGGAGGTGGAGGTGGCGGGGGTTGGTTATGTGATGAAATGGGACGTCTATCTGGGGGTGGTGGAGGTGCCACAGAACTTTTACTGGTTTGAGGGGGTGGTGGTGGAGGTGCAAAGTTATTCATTCTTTGCGTCGGGGGAGGACGAGAAGGTCCTGTATTCCTAGCCCCATTTTGTACAGGTCGTCGACTTCCAGGTGGAGGTGGTGGACAATTTGGTGCTGGCGGCCTAAACTGTCCGCTATTACTGCTTACATTTGACTTTGGTACAAAAGGTGGCGCCCTTGCCCTGGGAGGAGTAGGACCTTGACCTGAAGCAAACAAAGATTAATCATTACTGAATGAAGAAAGCTTCAATTAAAATATTTATCATAATTAAGTAACAAGCTATAAAACTAATATCTGTAGCTCATTATATTGTCATCACAATCTTCAAATCAAATAAAAATCAAATCAAATCAAATCAAATTGTCCAAATATAACAGAAACATAAATTTGTCTAAAAGACACAAACAGAAAACAGAAAATGAACAAAAAATAAAAATTTACTTGATCTAGATGCAGGCAAATTACCAGTTTTCCTTAATTGAGGCATTCCACCGGCAAATAGTCCTCCTAAACCTCCTCCACCACCACCACCACCACCAAAACCTCCTCCACCACCGCCACCACTGCCTGTGTTACTTCTGACTCCGCCGCCTCCACCTCCTCCACCTCCTCCTGAAGATTTGGCATTTCCTGAAATGAGATGAACAGAAAAATGTGATGAGTAAAGGGTGATAAATTAATCACAGCTTTGTAAATCATTGCTGACTTAGTACATAAGAACAGTGCTAAGTACAAAATCAAAGGTTGATCATTATAAACATGAGATCCTTGAATATGATTAATTCTTTTGGAGTGTCCAAATTTTGGATTTTTGTTTTTGTAGTGCAGTGCTAAGATTCAATACTCCCACTGGGAGAGCACATACTCCATCGGCTGGTGGCCAACCATTGGTGTGTGTGCACACTTACTGGTGGGAGTCTGTATCATGAACATCAGTCGAAAGTGCCTCGCATATAAATATAATTCATAACTCATTGGCAATGCCTACAGTGATACCAGCTTAAACCAGATAACCACTGTTGACGAATCCATCCATCTCAGCTAGTGTGAGCACTTTCTTAAGTGACGCCATCTGCAAATCATCATTGAAAACAATCCAATGGGTACGCTGCGCAGTAGAGTTCTCCATAGAATCGAATTGGCCAACGATCCATCAAGTACAGTAGGTAAAAGGTTGTTTGGTAATGAAAAAGCACAGCAGAAAAATGAATATGAAGAAACTATTATTATTATAAGATACTTACCTAAGACAGGTTTGCTTTTGTCAACAGTGACAGCCTTATTCAACTTTTTACCCTTATGAATTTCACTTAAAAGATTTGATCTGCCTTTTGCTTCATTTTTTGATAGAACAGGAGGAGTTGTATTAGCTTGATTAAAAGTTGGTGGTGGGGGAGGTCCAGGGGGCGGTGGAGGTGGTGGCATAGTCCACGTCCAACAATCAGTTTGATCTTATGATTTCACTTGATACAGCCTTTTATGGTGTATCTGCAAGAAGTAAAAGAAAATCTACATTAATTTATCCATGCTTTATAAATGCTTTAATTAATATTTCTACTAAAAGTTATATTGTTTACAAATATATTATACAAAAATAAGTTAATTTCATTTTGTCTAACACTCTATAACTGTACATTACAACACTAATCGCAGATCAGCCAAAACCATACCTAAACCAGAGCCTTGCAGGCGTCAACGTTCCTATGCATGATACATAACTTAAAAAGTTATGTACGTACATATATATACATATATATACACGTACATATATATATATATATATATATATATACATATACACGTGTATATATACATATACGTATACATACGTACATATACATTAATAATTGATTTTAGAATTAAAAAACCCAAAATTGACCCACTTGAAATCAATGGATCAGAAGTTGAACAAGTCGATAAATATAAATATCTAGGAACCATAATTGATAAAAAACTTACTTGGACAGACCAAGCTGAAGTAACTGTTCGCAAAGCTATATATATGTGTAAATAATATATATAAATACATAAATAATATACATATATATGTAAATAATATGTTATATAATATATATTATATTATATATATTATATACAACTATATATATAGAAAAAAATAACATACATAACATTTACTTCCTGTGGGTCAGATTGCTAAAAGTTTACTTCCTATGTGTCAAAAAAGATTTAGTTCCTATGGGTCACCACACAGTACATCATTTTGGTTTTTGTTTTAGATGTGTGTGTACTATACTACAGTTCATTACAGTAGCTATTGTTTCTCTTAAATTGACAACTTTTTCTTAATTATGGTGTATGAATACATACAGTATACAAATGATATGAGGATGAACAATTGAAGGGTGTTGGGAATAATAATGTTATATTTATTTTATAGTACTTGACAGATCCTGGGAAACAGTTGAAATAGATTCTGTCTGGGAAAGAGTTGGATTATCAAGTTTGGTCTGCTGTGATCACGTCTAGCTAATCTCAGAGTGACTACTCTAGGGAAGGATAGTATGGGAAGGCAGAAGTGACCTTTGATCTGTCTTGTGAATGTCAATCCTTGAATGTCTGGTGCTTAGGAATAGGAAGTGTACTGGGTTGTGTTGAATGAATTTCAATGCAGGGAAGGGCAAATATTCACACCAACTCCCACTCAAAATTACAAATAACATTGCTTCCTTATTACTGTATTAATACAAATTGATGTTGCCTTACCTGATGTGTTTTAGTACTGAATGCTCAGTACGTTTCCAAATGCTTACGAAATCGAACACAACCCCCAGATAACTACACAACAGGGAACTTGGAGTAACTTTATACAGTAGTTATCCCTAAAAACCATCAACCAGAAAGCCATTGACCAAAAGCCCCCATGTTTTGACTATGACAATAAAGTAAATTATATTAATCATTGCTAAAAATCTGAACATTGGACTTACCAAGAAAAGCACAACTGCCTATAAATAAATGTACTTTGCATTGCAGCCGCTACAGAAATAACTGGAAGAATAGAGATGGGAATCACTACTACACATATGGGCTATAAGCTAAACAAGGGACAACAACAAAGAACTTTTGATTGTAATACCTGTAACATAATAAAACACTTACCAGGACGGATCATCTTTAATTGACGACTTTAGTGACGTCAAGTTGACATTATCGAAATAAGCATTTCGAGAGTTTGATTTTTATAGTAGCTTTTGGCTTAAATATCTAACAGTCTTTCCTAATGGGATATTCAAAATGAAGTAAAGCAAGCTATAATCTACATGTCGAAGCTTTTAAGTCAATCTTTAAAACTTGTTAGCAAACTGAATATTGTAAGGAACAGATCTTACAATATTTCCTTGTATGACATCTTCAAATGTTCTTTTCTAATTTTCATTCACTGTTCTTCCCTAAACATTTAAAATTCTGCAATCTACAATGTTCAAATTTTGATTCTTAATGTTCAGATTTTATTTTCATAAATCTTATTGCAATCTAATAAATTTATACTGTATCATCATTTATCTTACGAAAAATCACCAAAAATGTATTGCTGATTTTAGGAAGCCAACACGCCACGTGTCCAAGATCAATCGGGTTTGAATTATCCCATATATAGACTATCTGGTAATGCCGAATCAGCTGTCTGGATTATTATGGTTTTGACTATTTCCTTCAGAGCTTGTTTTACAACACTGCTTAGCATCCCAGTGGATCATGCTATCAATTCATTTACATTTATTTCTATTCTAAAAATGATCATCCTACTAAAATATTGAACGTGGAACAAGGATGTGGATGTTTGACCTCATTGCATTATGTAAACATAGCCTATTTGTAAATCTTTGCAGTAACATCCAAAATAATAAAACACCAGAAAATTCAAATTGATAAAATAGTCATTCTTAAAATTAACAGACTTTTCAAGAAGAAAAACATTCTTCCAATGATTAATTATGGTTTCCACATAATACAATTTCCACAGATTGAATTACTGTATACTGTATAGTATAAAGTGCATCTGAGAGGACTTCAATGAGAAGCCAATTAATACTCTTGAATTGAGTACCTGGTATTATTGAACACATCTTTAATGATTATTAATGAAAATAAAACATAGGTCATAGGTCATTTGCTAACTGTAAACTATTCATACCAGAGTGATGAGCTGCTCCTCTTTGGCACAGTCTTCTTACAACATTCGTAATAATTTTGATTCTCCTTCTATTTAAAAAAGGTGGCTTTGTTTATCTGTATTCATTAATACCGTTCCTTGAGTTTAGTTTACCTTGTAATTTTTATTTTGGTTTTTCTGCTTTCATTTTAGTTCTAGTCTACTGTATCATTGTTTTTAATTTACATTTTAGTTAATTTTAATTGTACATTTGCAAACATATTTCTGTAAATTTTTACTATAAATGTGTACCAGGGCTTCCTTGGAAAGCAGTGCTAGTCACTGAATTGTTACACCCTGAATAAAGAAAATTGTTACACCTTGAATAAAGGAAGCTTAAATAAATTAAGTGTGATGGAAACAAAAAAAAGACTGCAAAAAAATCAATGTAATGTCCCATAAAAATCATCTTGTGTCTAATTTATCTATTTTTTATTATAATCCTAACAGTAAACAATAGAAACAACAAACAAAATTAATTATTACCACCCATATACAATAGCCTGCTTCGTCATCACACGAACATCAATGCTGATGTGCCGGTTAACCGCCAGATTCAAACGGCTGACGAAGATGATGAGATGTCATCAAAAGCTCCCAGAAACTAAACTACAACTCCGAAAGGTAACTTACACGCATTTTTTTTTTTATTATCATGACAGAGTTAGAGAATAACTTCCATGCTATTAAAAATTCATTATGATGAAAATACATATTTTCTTGATGGGTTCATTTGCGATGACACTGACTAAATACAATGATTGAATTATAAGAAGGTTAAGGAGGATCAAATACACTGTACACTTTCAGAAGTCCGTAATGCAGCGCTGTCAAAAATACATCAATTTACAAGTACAATATCAGCATAAATTTTGAGAAAGTAGGAATTACAGTAGAAGCAACAGAACTGTGTACTGAAGTAGAGTGAAATACTGGGTGAATATAATATCATTTTAAAATCAATTGACCTAATGCCAAAAAAGGACAAATTAGTGGTAAAAAATGAGTGTAGAAAGAAATTTCCAAATTTTGGGTAGTTTAAATCATTGGTAAAAATACAGTGCAATTGTTCGATACAAAATATCATTTATCAAGTTGTGTATATTACACATCTGAAAGACACTCAGACAGGAAGTTCTGCAAATGTGCACTGCATACCTTTGCCCAGTGCCTGACTACCTAATAATACGCACTGTTGTTTAAATGTTTTCTTTTATGCTCTAGGGGTAAGCTTCAAGGAAATTTATAGATTGCTATGACCTTACACTTGTCCTTTGACCTTTGTTCCTCAATGTGTCATCTCTTTCTTACTAAAGATCAATGTGTACAACTCCACTATTATTAACCATTTTAGTTTTTGCATAACTATTATTATCATTATTATTATTATTATTATTATTGTTTTTGAGAAGAACAGACAGACAGGCAGAAAACAGAGAGGTATGCATTTAACCTACTTGGCAGAAAATGAATTTATATATTAAAATACTGGCCAAAATTGTGTCAAAAATACCATGCAAAAAACTTGGTCACCTAATATACCACAACTGAACACACTACAAATGGAATTTTTCTATTTATAAAATTAAATTTTGTCCATTACCTACTGTACAATCAGGAAAATATTTTGATGTCTCCCTCTTACCTTTATTATAATTTTTCTAATTAGAGACCCAAGCTGCTAAAGACAATATATTATTTCAAAACGATGGATTAACTAATCTGATTGTATGTGACTTAAATAACAGTATGCTGAAACATTATAAACACAGCTTAAGCACCTGTCCACCATCAGCTGTTGATAGATAAAGAACAATGCTTCCTTTAAGATCATCAATACTTGCTTACAACAATCATATTCTTAAAATGTGTGCAATTATTAAAACAACTAGGGGCCTGTTTTAAAAATGTTTGTCTTTGAAAAATGTTTTTTATTTTAACAGTAGAAAGACAACCTTAAAAGAATGATTTTTTTTGTATGTTTAAGTCGGCTATATTTCGATTTCAGCAAATAATTGACGCCCTCTTTCTACTTATTTATAAAGAAATATTATGTATAAGTCATTCTGATTGGTTAAACTCTGGCTTTTATATTTATTTAAGCTGTAATAACCAATAGAATGAATGGTATTTTTAGCCGAAAAACCCAAGCAATGTTGTTAGGTTGTAAGAAACTAGACATGATTGGCTTACAAATACCACATGATTTAGAATCGCGCTTCTGATTGGCCAGTGATTGTTGTTTACACTTTCCGTGGATCCCATACAGACAAGGTTTCTTGACACACACTCAACATGGCTCCGAAATGTAGAAGTAGTGAAGTAGAAAGACGAATTGCTGACGCTTTAAACGATGTTAAATGCTTAGATTTCAATGAAGACGACAACAGAAAGGTATTTGACCTAATCAACAAATATCTAGACGAAGGGACCATTTCAGATGATGAAGATTTAACGCCGGAAGAGAAGGATGATTTCGACGTTGATGTGAAGGGAGGCTTATGCTCTGAAGATGAATCCGATATCAAACTAAGCCTAGGCGTAAACGATGATGAGAAAGTACATTCATCGGATGAAAGACGATAATGCCGATGATGATGGAAAGGGGGGGGGGGAAGTGAGGGTGGTGGTAGTGTATATTGCTGCTGTCTTGGTGTGAGTTCCAGTGTATGTGAGCATCAGTTTTATTTGACTTCTTATAATTTCTGTATGGAGAGGTGATAGTGGTTGGGAATAATGGTTGGAAGAGAAAGAGCTGGTAATAGATTGACTATATTATGATTACTAAAGCAACGATTGATTACACTAAATTAATTCCAATATCTGAAAAATTTACTAGTACAATATAAAGTACGTAGATACACATTTTCTGTTTTACAGAAAGGGGGGGGGGGCAGATGTGGGCATGTTAAAGACTTGACAATAACAACGTATGTCACACTTGTGGACAGTTGGTGGTAGTATGCACAGTGAACGTTACCTGTTTAAACATCGTTGTGGTGTCCTGAATCTGGCAGAAATACTAAAATCCCCTCCCCCTATTACAATTGGTCTTAGTCCCCCTTAAAAAAAGACTATCGAATTCAAATTATGTGTATGGGTTGCATTATATGTTTGGAACAACTAGTCAAAATTTCATTTTTATTGGACAACAAGAAGTTGGTGGTAGCTATGGCCATCTGTTGACTACTCCTCCTTTTATTATTTTTTCAAACCATTTTTTAAAGGCCGCTTTCTCAAAACGAAGAGGTTTCCTTAGAGGTCTGATTTTCAAACCACCCTAACTTTGGTTTTAGGTATCCAATTCAGATGGTTGACCCCTCATTTTAAACCTTATATTGTAATCTTTCTGTTCCATATCTGATGACTTTACAGCCCATTTGTGAGCTTGGGTCACATTTTTTTAAATACCATCACAATTCAGCTCTGCTGCAATGATGTATTTTTTATGTGAATTTATTGAATAAACCATTTATTTATCTATCTATCTAGTGAACAAACCCAAATGAGATGATTAGGAACTTTGATACTATCAAATTTAATTTAAGACAAATTTAGTATAGTATTAAGACTGTACTGTAGCTTAGTGATTAGCTTTTTCCTTCAGTCTAAATCGTACCAATAAACCAACAAACATGATTTTTTTTCTCGCAACTCAAAACTAAGAAAAAGTCTACAGAGCATCACACCCTATCCTCTAAATAAGAATTGTACTACGATTGCATGTAAAAGGAATACGTAAAACAAATAAAGCTTTCCGTCTGATAGAGTCATACAGAACACAAAGCATGAATAAGTACAATGAGTATTGTTAATATCATTACAGGTATCTACTTTCATTTCCTATATAAGCAGTACTGTAATTCTTAGTAAGTATAAGGAAGTACACGCAGATATATAAAATATTGACTAACATGAAATGTTTGTTCAAACAAACTTCAACCAGTCAGGCAGACATCTGTTGGCAACCTAGAAATACTACCATACGGTTGCCTAACAGCTGTCCTAACACAGCTTTCTTCCATTTTATAATGTATGGCTAGACAGAAGTTTAATAGTAGTTCTATTTCAGTTTTCCTGTTAAATTCACCATTGAAAAAATAGTATTCTATAATATAATATCCATACTCAGTTCCATCTCATAAGATATATCTAAATCTCAGTAGTGGATCCATGAAGTGGTAAAAAGAACATATAGTACCTGTATGTTATCCCTGCCTGGCAGCAGCCAAAAATATATAAGTGTAAATTCCTTTTGATAAGAGATTAAAATGGCTAAAATAAAAGGGTAACACTCAAACCCGTCCCACTTAGAACATAGGACCGCACCCTCTCCTCTTCTCAGACTATACTGTAGGTCCTAGACCAATTGCCACTCATACCGCCAGCAAAAATTTCTGGGTCTGCTAGTCACTTTCCCTCCAAAAAATTATCCATACTTCACTTCACATTTTTCCCACTGATACATCCATACCACACACACGTCTCCACAGCATCTTATCTCGGTTGGCTAAACTGTGTGCGCGAAACTGTGGAGATATTTTTGTCCTCGGTTCAATTCCACCTGCTGCTCTCCTTGTTTTAGCTGGAGGGGATATCGCAGAACCGTGGAGATATTTTGGTCCCCAGTTCAATTCCATCTGCTGCTCTAATTTTTTTAGCTGTAAGGGGTATCGTGGAACTGTTGAGACCTTTTGGTCCCCGGCTCAACTCCATCTGCTGCTCTCCTTGTTTCAGTTGGGGGGGGGGCATTTGCTTGTTAAAGAATATGGTACGCTCTTCGGAAAAGAGTAGGAGATTGTCTCCCGGAGTACTGCCCTATTCAACAACAGAAAGACACCAATGGTAACAAGACTTGGTGTGAATCACATAAAGAATACTCCTATCCCACAACCACATCTCCACACATACTGTACATATTGCTAAGCACTTGCACATACACACATTCACTCCCATGCTAAAAGTGCAATCACAATGAATCCAAATATTCACATCAAACCAATCAGAACATCGAATCAGTGTATGTACGAATAGAGACACCGGCCTTCAGTGCCTCAGAAAAGCAGCCCAAATTTTGATTCGGATCTAATGTGAGCCCAGCTTAAATCTAGTGACAAACCTTAAATTATTTTCTTCTAGTGTTCTATTTTGTAAATTGATGTTCCTTGTATGTTAAAGAGTTGAATCAATAACTTGATGATTCAAAAACAGTCTGCTTTTATTTTATACATGTTTATCTTGGCAAATTTGATGAATAGGTTCACACACCACTATTGATTATTTCAATTGGATTGAGAATGGAGGATAGCTCTTCAACAAGCAAAATGTAATTTACCAATTTGTCTGGCAAATTATAGAAATGCATTGTAGATATTTAATGGGAGTCATTGAAACATTCAAGAAAACTGATTAATTTTAACTTTATATTAGTCAACATGATTAGAAACAATGTTGGATGGACATATTTTTCCTACAGGAAAGAGAATGAAATAATAAAATGATGCAACAAGGCTTCTAAGCACTTCCCATAATAGATCAAGGACATACTACATACTCGGCTCCTCCCTGGGAAAAAGTTGATGTTTCCGCTGTAATCAGCACATTTTGTGTTCATAGTTTTGGAGTCCTTATGAAGTCAGCTTTACCCACGAGAACCAAAACTAAAGCTTACCAGGCACACACTTGTACTCCTGGGTAAACACAGACAACCGTCAACACATTTTTTATTCCTGGCTTCACAAACTTATCTAGTTTTTTTAATCGTCAGAGTTTAGAAAAAAAAATAATAAAATTTTGTTTTCTATGGTTTTGTCAAAAACACCCACATGGAGGAGAAAATAAAAATAAAATGTTATTGTTCAATGTAAACAGTGCAGTAATGGGATGGTTAAATGCTTTAAATTTATATAATTAGGTAAAAGATACATCATATTTTTGGTGAATTCAAGGCAGCGGTAAACATAAGAAAAACTTTTTTTCGTAGTGGTGAGTGTGGCAATTGGCGAAAAAAACAAAATGTTAGTTTTATTCGATTGTTGGCGGGCGGCAGGTTTACTAGAAAAGGTATAAAAAAAAGGTGCCTTGCCTAAGGACACAAGCAGAACGTGCAACAAAGGATTGAAACCCAGACCTCAAGGTCGAGATGCTACACTGCAACCACTGCAACAAACCACTCAAGGTTCCATCATTTTTGAAACAGAGCAAATTTTAAAAACCATAATCTTTAGGAACTGAATAATAATAGCTGTTACAAATTCTTGGGTTATTCAAGAAAATGCTTTCTCAAATATCTATTCGCTTACATTTAAAATTTTTAAATTGTTCATATTGTAGTAGTTTCTAAATAGAGTTAAACAGATTACTGTAAATTACTACAATTCAATTATTTAATACATGATTTCATAACTGACACACAAAATTATGGTATGATTAGTCGAATCCAATGGAGTTCGTATGGGATGTGTATACAATTGACAGTTTAGAAAAAATTTATTTCCAAGACAAAGCAAAAGTTATGGGCCTTGAGGTCCTAAATTTACAAGCTACAGTACATCAAAACTAAATTCAACAATCAAACAATAACAATCTGTATGATTCGGCACAATTTTCCCATTAAATGCTCCTCATCTACTGTATCCTAATTCAATATAGTTATCTAGTGTGGTCACTGTCATTACCATCATCTTCATCATATCCTTCATCTACCTTGGCAATGAGCAACAACTTCCAACCACAACCTTGCCTATGTTCTGTTAAGCAATTGTTCTTTCAAATAAATATATTATATATTTTTACCTTTCTCTGATGATTTAATTAAATTTCAATGAATCACCACTATTTACTGGGAACCATTCTGAAAGAACACAAAACAATAACAGATCTGTTAGAATATGCTCCATTGTCAGCAAAAAGTACCCTGGAACAATGAACAGACACAGTTGTAACTATTTTTTAGTGGTTAAAATGGGTGTCAAGAGTTAGTCACCTAAATTTTAATCATCTATGAGTTCAAAGGTCAGAGAAAATCCTTAACAATAGTCAGAGTTCTTGTTAAGTACTTCCTTTACTTTCCTGTCAATTCTGTGTTGGACATTAGTATTAACTAACAGTACATCATGTACAGAGTAGTACACAATGTCACATTACCAATTGACATCGCTTCATCACCAAGTACTATACCTGCCAAGCAGTCAACACAATTGAGGGCATCCAAATCTGAACTAGTTTCTATAGCTTTTTCAACTGATATTATCATAAATTAACAATTTTAGAATAAAAACAAAACTGAAAATCATTTTTCTGATTTAATTGTCAAGTCATAAATAGTGATAAATGCTGTCTTCAATTAAGTTAAAAATACACGTAAACAGCCATACTGAATTCCTGGGTACTGATCACTAGCAGCTTAAAACGTCTTTACCAAAAAAAAGAGTGAACTATACAGTAGCAAACACATTTCAGGGTTCGAAATAACGCTGGTCCGCCGGCCAATGGCTAGTAAAATGCATGGTGGACCTGTTAATTATCCCAATAACAAGTCCGCATGACCAGTTAAAATTTCAATGAAAGTCTGACGAAATACCTAAAGTTTTACTCATTCACCTTTTATCGATGTCTTTACAAAATATTTCACACAGATAATGTCAACAAGATCGCTATTTTATTTTTAGGCAAACAGATGAACATCACGCAGTAGCTAGGTCATGGAGGAATCCATGGCTAGACGTACAGAGGGAAATCAACTTCTCCGCATGTTACAGCGACAAGGAGAAGTTGATTTCCGTCTGTGTGAGCACCATGAAGTTAAAACATCCATGTCATATATCCATCCCACAATACAACGTGGTACAAAAGTTAACAAAACAACGCAACGATTTCCGGACGACCCAATAGCGTTGTCATGGAGATTATCTATTAATTAAAATGACACACCAGTAAAATGTTAGATAAAGTGATAGTTACGCCTCCCATTGTTTTAATAAAGTGCATTATCGCCTTATGAATACTTAAAAATTGATTTTAATCAACCTGAAATGAAAAAGGAACTCAAAGCAATTGTTTCTACGACGGCTCTTTTTAGTAGACGTTTAATTTGGATTTGGTATGTCATTAGATTCATATGTCAGTCTACATGTAAATTACACTCACAATCCCCAAAAACATTGCTAATTACGGAGGAAATTTGCAGAGAATGAAATTTAGATTTGTTAGATTTATTTTAGATTTGACTCTAAAACAAAACCACGAGGGTTTCTTAATTATGTTAATAAATTTGTTTAATTAAAAATTCAGCAAGCTGTCACGCACTATGAAACTTTGGGCGATCTGATGTCATGACAGCCAAGCACATGGGATTTTTTCCCAGCCACATGACCCCACAAAAAAAATTAACCAATTAGCGGGCAGAGTTTAGGAGGCGCGACCTGATATTTACAACGCATTTCACACCGTGACCGCGAAGAATGTGTTGTGTTTACAGTTTAGAAAAAAATGTCAGACCGAAAATGCACATAAAAACAATATAAAAGCATTCATTTTATTGGTACAGTAATTTAATTTGCTGTGCACTACAGCTAAACAACAGGTACTGTACGTATTATATGTTAAATAATATGTTAACTTTTCGTAGGCTAGTCATACCAAATTCACTGACTGGGCTATGCTAAGCCATATTAGCGTCTAGGCTAGGCCCTAACTAGCCTACCTTATTCGGAAAGGATTCAATAGAAATGTTCCACAAACCGATCTTTCCGGAAAACCGAACATCGTATTGTGTGCACTGTACATACAAATAGATTCCTGTATTTATATTTCGCGGCATAATTTCATAGAGAGACAACAGAACGTCAGTGTTACTTCATCGGTGATGGCAAGCATGATTAGCATGTCACAAATATGGTACTTGGGCCTTTTGAAGTTGGTAAGATAGTGGCTAGTGAAAGGGATTGAGGACCAGTAATTTGGCTAGTTAAAAAAAAACCTTAAGGGAAACCCCTGCATTTCAACCAGAGTCTGAAATTATCCCAACAGATCAGTGCACATATAGGGCCTTCCATTACTTTAACACAACAGATCAGTGCACATATAGGGCCTTCCATTACTTTAACACAACAGATCAGTGCACATACTGTATAGGGCCTTCCATTACTTTAGCAGATCAGTGCACATATAGGACCTACCATTACTTAACAGATCAGTGCACATATAGGGCCTTCCATTACTTTAACAGATCAGTGCACATATAAGGGCCTTCCATTACTTTAGCAGATCAGTGCACATATAGGGCCTACCATTACTTTAACAGATCAGTGCACATATAGGGCCTTCCATTACTTTAACACACTGAAGGCCAGAAACAAGGATACTGACACATGCTATCCTTTTGTGTTCCTCAGAAAAATATGTAATTATATTTAAAAATAAAATTTTAGATGTATTTTTACTGCTGTACTTGCATTTGAGATTACTTCTACTTTGTAATGCCTTTTAAAAATTGGTAATGAAGCCGTGTTAGTCTAAACAATATACAAAGAAAATTAAAAGTCTTTATTCAACACAAGCTTTCGCTGGCAGTCAATGCCCGCCTTATCAGGTGTGTGAAGGAAAAAATTGAAAACAAAATAGAAAAGAGCTTATGCATACAATATTATTATTATTAGCAATAGTCTCACAATTAACCAATTAGCAGTCGGATACAATGTAGTATACAATGATCAGAGATCATCATTATGTCATCATTCCTTATGATGACATAATTAATGTCGAAATATTGAATCCCAACACGATGGCGTGTATTTCAATACTTGGAGCATGTATTATACTTTCTTATCTGAGATTAATCAGTGGACCTTTCGGTTTTTATGATCAGAGATAACAAGTGTAATCAAACCCTTGCTAGATAGTTAAATAGGTAGGTCTAGAACTTGATCGATGTTAGGCCTAGTCAGGTGAGCTTTTGTTCTGTAGCTGTTGTTTGATGTAGTTTTGATGATAGATAATCCCTTTTAGCTGTAGTAAGGGCATAAGTTAGAGAGACACTAAAAAATACAAATTGCCGACGTAGTGCCGAGGCGAGTGCAATGTACGTCGGCAATTTTTTTGCCGAGGACTTATCGTCCCAATTTCGAGGGTTGCCTGGCACATAAATAATTTTCATATTATTGTCCATCATCGCATTTTTACGGCATCTGTATGATGGGCAGCAAATACATCAAGTATTACAAGACCAGGTTGGTCTTCCTACAAATTGTTTATAAAAAGTGGGACAGTAACATTAAGCCCTACTGAAGAGAAAAGGCCATACGTTATCTCAGGAAATGTCAATCTAATTGTTCGCGCGTGTTCCACTTGCGATAACCTTATCGGTATCCTATGTGGTGCCGATAGTACGCGCATTTCGCTAGCTGACAGTAGAAGCTTTGTGGTGCCAACAGTACGCACATTTCGTACTGTTGGCAGTGAAGCTTATTCACACGATCGGTCTAGACTGGAAAAGTACCAGTATTGGAAGTATGCCAATGTTGTTACTACAGCACAGAATACAGAAAACGATCAATTTAAAAGACACAATATGTCTAAGTTACATTTATTGGGTACATATAAACACATTTTTCCTCCAAATTATGGCAGAAATTTCGACAGAATAGTGAAGATAAGAAAATAATTTTGACTTTTGTATTTCAATTATTAGTACAGTATTCTCTGGATTAAGGAATAAAAATTTTGTACTCTATTTTTGCAATTCGCGAAAGTTTTATGTCGCGAAAACGACCAAATTGGTGATTCGCGAAAGTTTCTGGTTTTACAGTACGTGTTGAGAAATAGAATGTACCATTTTGTAACAATTTGAACTGTTGTACATAAAACTGCCTTCTTCATACTAATTGTATATAAACGCACAGGGTTGGGGGAGTGAGGAAGGGAGAGTAGGGATGGGATGCCAGTACAGAGCCCAATTCTGGTAATGGTAATTTTTCAAAATGGTTGATATTTAACGGGTGTGTAAAATATATGTGACAATAAACATAAAACATAACACATTTAACCCAATTTGTACTACAAAGTCTCATTTATTTAATTTATGTGATGTGTCAAAGTATAAGAAAAGTGATATTATAGGAAATTACGCAAGTTCCTCATCTCAGTAAAATACAAAATTGATCATAAAATAAAAACTATTCAGCCGATTTTTTTCAAGTAAAGGGAAGTTGATTTCTTTTTTTTTGTCTCTTTAGAAATATAATCAAATTAGATATATTTACACATAAGAAAAAAATCACTTGTGATAACTAATTTGATAACCACCATGCAAGATATTAAATAATATAAATATTGTAAATTGATTAATGATAAACAAGGTATGGAAGTGATTAGTCAGAGAGAAAATGAAAGAAATTTAACAAACATGTTTAATACACAGTTCATTTGCCATATTTCATGCCAATGTAGAACAGGTCTATGCACATATTTCTCTGCCTAATCAACCATTTTACTAATTTTATGGCAACACCCCTAAAGTGATAAAAATTCCATAATCAACTGTAAAATAACTGGGGTACGCTTTCCTAATATTAAATGACAATCTTTTTCAGTGACACAACAAAACATGAAACATTAACATGACAGTTGACGTGCACGCAACGTTAAGGTTTGATCCAGCCACAGGCTTGCATTATATCACAAACTGGAACTAAGTGATTCTCTACTATACTGTACTGTGTGCATAGTACAGCTACAGCGATCATATGGCTCTGATCCAATGGCAGTCAAAGCTTCTCTCTTTTCCACTACAGTATGAATACTTTTTGTGTAAAGTGTTTCACAGTGGTACTGAGTGCATAGATATACACTATG